AAGATAATTATTCCTAATTATCTCCATAATATTCCTTTTATTAATTATCCATCTTATTTATGTATTATGGGAAAATACTGGATAATTAATTAGGAATTTCATTTATAGCTTTTCAAAGTTATTCATCCCAACAATCCTCCACTTGAATAGTTTTGAAACTATCTCTGAGCATCAACAGTTCCATAAGATCGGGCATAAGCTAAGGTATCGCGAAGATTTGAACCTTAGCGTAGTGGTTACACTTCCGATTTCATAAGGGTGACTCGTAGTCTTGAACCCTATCTCAGACAATGTAGCACACCGGATCTTCTCATTGAGTGATATTCTCTCATAGGTCGTGCGTTTATGGCCATGCACGTTATCCTGGTTTAGTGAACGCTCTAGCAACTTTGTGCCTCCAAAGTTTCATAGGGAGCGGCCCCATTCCCACATTCACATAGGTGAGTCTATCAGAAGTACCCCCAAAGTAAAGTACTTCACTCCACATAGAGTATAGATCTCATTAAGAGTTTAACTCAACCTCCAAGGCTTTGGGATTCATGCTTCACTATGCATGAACTTTTCTCAATATTACTCATGACTTGTTATTACCCATTGAACCCGTTTCTTGGGATCTCCAGTCTATCGGGTCCGGTTACCATCACTTGTAATCCATGGTTTGGTAGGCATAAGTCTCATACCCTTCGTGGTATTTTGGACTTTCTATCTAGATAATCCTTTCGTCAAAGGATCAACTAGATTCTGTTAGGACCTTACAAGATCCACCCTCATTTCTCCTATCGTTAGGAGTTCTCTTACAGTACTGTGCTTACGACCAATTTGTCGTCTCTTTTCGTTCTAGAACTGGTTCCCTTCTTTAGTAATAGCTGCGGTGCTATCAACTACCGGAGGGATCGGTCTTTCCCATAAGGGAATCTCTAGTAATGACCCTCTCAATCAACTTTTCTCTTTACTAGCAATTGCTAGCTCTATCATTTCTGATTTCTTAGTTGATTGAGCCAGGGTCGTTTACTTCTTAGAATTCCAAGACACAACTCTTCCAGTGATGTTTAAAAAATGACCACTGGATGCCTTGGAGTCTTCTATAAGGTATTCTCGTCCGCATCAATGTACCCTACCAATACAGTACGAAACCGTTGATAACTTATATCAAGGTCTACTGTTCTCTTAAGGTGTCTCATGACCCCTTTCAATAGCATTTCAATGCTTCATCCTAGGACAATCAGTAAGCCTGCTAAGTACCCCCACTAAATCGGGTATCATGTTTATCAGCTGCCTCCTGCAGACTGTAAATGCTATTATATTCTAACTTTCTTACACCGTCTTAGGTGTTCTTTAAATATTTATACGAGCATCATCAAACATGTATGCAGGTGTACATCTTGTATTTTCCTAGTTATTAGGATCTCTAAGCATAACATTTGTTTCATTCAGATCCTTCACATTCAAATTTCTCAACCATCATGGTTTTTCAATATTGACATCACGAGTCTTTGTCCCAAAGATCGACGTTTCATTCATAATGCAAGTGTCATTCTCAATTTTGTACTAAATGCACTTGTCACTTTCACTTTTAAAACCATGAGAGAGAACCAGTTTATTCATGCCATTGTCTTAGAGTCTATTTCAAATCTTACAATGACTTGTCTAACTATAGACTCCCTAAGCATGTTCAGGAATAACAACCCTACAGGTAGTCCCATGTAGATTTTCCTATCTAAATCACCATTCACAGAAACATGTTTAACAATTCATCTGATGCACAACACTAGCAATCAGAACATACATGGATGTTATTCTACATATGGTGAATAGATAACAAGAAAATTTACAAGTTTTCCTTTTCGCTTAAAGCCTTAGCCATTAGGCGATCCTTATACTCATAAACTAAACCAATAGGTTTCATTTTTCTTTTAAGAATCCATTTATTACCCATGACTTCATTGCCAAGAGGTAATTCTCAAATATGCCAAATCTTGTTTGATTCTATCGATATATTACCCAAGGCTTTTCAACCAAGAGGTAACTCTACAAGATTTTAAGTCTTATTAGACTCCAATAATTCCATTTCGTTAATAATGGATTCTCCCACAATTTTGCATCTTTATGGAAGTTCAAACTTCTAGCAGACTTGTAGGATCTTTCTTTCTTAGGGTGTAAATAATAAATTAATAACCAAAATCCTTTCGTGATTTATGGTTCATTTGTCTCTTCTGAGTTCATACTCAGATTCATCACCCCCACTAGTTCCATTATTTCTAATAGTAGGTAGGATTTAACCCCCACTATCTCTTTATTTTAAATGGAAGTCTATTGGCATCCATGGATTCCATAACATAATGAGTATTTCATTTCATGAGGCATGTATATTTTACTATTGACAATACAATCAATAAAATATACGCATATGCTTTCCAAGTTATCATATTACATCTATTTCTCAAACAAATTAGCATCTCAAATAACTAGATAGAGCACTATGTATAGCAATAAATCTCTTATTGTCTTTCTATCACGTATACCCATATAAAAATAAATAAGATCTATCGATTTTGATTCTCTAACCATGTATTTATGGGTCATTTAGCTTGGATATAAATTCAAATTTATCTCAAGTATTCAATAATAATATGAGAATGTGATATAAGATATTCTAATTCTTCACTCAGACACACTTGGAAGAATTTATTTTATCTACTTAACCATTCCTTACTTCTAGTATAGTCAATGACTTTCTAGAGGTAGGACTCTCTTCCACTTTCCCAGAACCATTAACAATAGCGGTGAGGGTCTTTCCCAACAACACTTTCTCCTTCAATACGCCTCAATGCATGAATGAGCTTAGCTACTTTATCAGATGCATGCCTTGAGGCGTCAATATCCAACCACCATTCTTTAGAATTGTCATTAAGGCCTATCACCCCATTAGTGATTATTACCACCAAATCCTCTTATTTAGTCAAGTTAACACTAGGTTAAACTTGTTCTTACACTTTTGTGTCTTATGACCTAGTTTCTCACAAATAACAGAGGAACATAGCGTCATTCGTAGAGGATTGGGTGGCAATCTTATGGTTACCACAAAGGGTACCATTCTATTTGGTATGGATCTGGTTCGGCATGCTGCTCTCATTCTTGAAACTTTGATGTTTCAGAGCAGCCTAAGTGGTTCGTGTAGTACTGATAATAGTACTTCTTACAATATCGTTATTATGGGCAATAAACCCATTCTATTCCCATATATTCTTCAATGCACACATTTAGACAAAATCATTCTTCCCATGTAATCAATTTATGCTCTAATCATCGAGATACGTAATATATCTCAATGTCAACTTATCATGCATCAATTCAAGCTTTCATTCTAGCATTCATAACCTTTCTCAATTTCATGCATAAAACCCTATGAAATTTGTCATTCATTAATGACTCGTGAGGAAGGTTTCAGTTCTTACCTCCTTTCAAGAAGTCATTTCCTTCTAACATTTGCAGTTAATAGCTAGACATACATAGCTTCTTTGTTGCTCGTTTTGCTTCTCTCTACAACCTTTAAGACTAGCACTCAACATCGTGCATTTTCCTTGTTCTATGGTCGTGGATTATGGCTTCTAGCATAACTTCTGCTTCTCATTGAGCCTTCTCTCGCTTGGCTTGGGCCCTATTAGTTACACGCAGCAACTTACTGGAACGGAACACGTCGCGGTTGCACCCTCCATAGTTTGCTCCGTAAGGGTTCATTAGCAACTCAATAATTGTGAAACAAAAATTGACAAAGAACTGTCAAAGTAACTTGCGGCACCCAAAGCAATTAAAGAATTGTCAAAGTAAAAAGCAAAAGGCAACTGAAGCTCATACGTGTTCCTTCAACAAAAAAAATTCATCTAGGTTACCGTGGCTGCAACCGAAGCTGAAATCCCCTTTTGCTTCTTTCCACGCTTCTGTCCTTACTCTGCTTCCGCACCATATGGCTTTGGTTCTTGTGACGCCAGATGAGGTGAAACTTGAAAGAATCGAATATGTTCTCTAGGGCAACAGTCATAGCAAACGGGGTTGCTACGTCGAGCGATAGGAATCGTTCCTCTTCCCTGTTCGAGAAACTTCAGAACTATAAATAAATAACAATAACTAGCTTTGACCCTGCTCTTTGGGCAAGTAAGTTTATATATTTTTGGGTAAATATAATTTAATATTCAAACATTTCATTTTAAACAATATAATAGCCAAATTTTTTCGAAAACAATATAATATTCAAATCGTCAACTTTCCGTCCGTGTGACCGTTGGTTGACATTTCAAAAAAGGTTTGTTTAGGGAAATTGTCACAATACAACTTTGTTTTCTTGTTTTGGCATTGCAGATGAGTGAATATTTAGATATTCTATACCATTATGGTGGAGTCATGGATTTCTCGGGTTTGGAACCACGGTATGTTGGTGGTTTTTCAGAGAAGATATCGATGGATATTGATGAAGTGTCATACTTCGAACTTTTTTGAAGTGTCAACTAACGGTCAAACGAACGGAAAGTTGACGATTTAGATACCAGATGGGCGGTGGTTGAGAAATAAGAGTCTGTGAATCATTGTGAAAGGAGTGAGAATTCGGAAATATAAGAGGCCGTGGACCGTGGTGTCGCTTGGGCGGGGAGGAAGGAAAGAATTGAAGTGGAAGCGGGCTGACGTGGACAAAAAAGAGAGGTTAAAAGTGCGAAAGTTGCGGGGAAGCTTTCCGCCAGAAACTCCTTATATAATACTAGTTTGGTACCCGGTCCGTTGGCCGGGTAAATTTTGTTTGAAATATGTACTTTGGTAATTTTTTCCTCCTAAGGTGTCTATTTTGTTCAGTCTGTCATTGTCCTCTCTCATTTCAAATCGTGTATACCTTTGAGTCCGACCAGTTGGCCGCTAAATGATTTTTTTTAAGATAAATTAGTTTGTACTGCACGACAATATTTTAGCACCCATGAAATTGTTGTGCATTATTATTATGATATTACAAAATTAAACATTGATATTATTTAGTAACTCAGTAGAATGTGAAATTTGTTCTACGATCTATGTTAGTATATACTTTATGGCGGTACAATTGAATGATATTGATATAGTTTCGCAACTATCGAATAGGAACATGCCTTGTATATATATGATTGTGGCTATGTTTAAAAAAAACATATATCAAAATGGATATCCTTGTGTAGATCACATAAAATCTGATTTTTTCGCGCAATAATATTTAAATTTGGAGTTGAAGCGAAATAAATATGAATCAATTAAGAGTAGTAGGGGAGATTTAAAAATAAGAGAGAGAGAGAGAGAGTTAAGTGGCACATTCTGATTGGGGTATAGAAAAACTTAAAGTAAAAAAAAGGAGTTAAGAAAAAATCTGATTGGTCGGAAGGGTGTTGACGTGGATGCGTAGGAGGGCTGGAATTTTGAAATGGTGAAGGTAGTTTTTGGAAAAGCCTTTATATATTTTATAGATAGATATATTTTTTTATTATTTATGGAGGATATGGATGGATGGATAAACACGGCCCGTGGAGGGTTTGTGAGAGAAGCTATTAGCTCCTCCACAGCCGCCAGAAGAACCAAAGTAGCAGATCCTCCAATTAATTGCCAAAAAGGAATCGGACAGCTAAGTTCCCAGAGCACTTGTCCCGGTCCGCATGATTCTTTTGATAATCCTCCTGTTGCTTCTCCGACTCCTTCCCTAAAGAGTAAAATTCTCTTCCCGGCAATGATAGACAAGCAGAGAGAAGTCTCAAATCCCCTTTCAATGGGGTTGTCTCGGATCGACTGCTTCGTTCCCGAATTATGACCGTCGCCGAGATATTGCAATTGCTTCGTCGTGAACAAAGCAATTGAATCATTCGAGCCAGAATCGACATCCTGTTCGATACAAATCACAGCAACCGAACGTTTTAAAATTGTTAGAAATCGAACAGGAAAAATTAGGTTAGGCATTTCATTTATAGCTTTTCAAAGTTATTCATCCCAACAAACAGGGGATAGCGAGAAATCATAGAACATAACGGGGGACAAGACAATCCACCCAGTGCAGAACTTGACGTATGTATGACGTCGAGTAGTATCCCGTTTCCTCGTTGAGAACAACGTTCCCCCCTCCGCACGTCCAATGGCGGCTTCTCTTTTTCATTATTGATTGACGACTTTCCTCTCTTTCGATTTTCCCTGCAGTTTTTCAGAATGCACATTGTTTGGTTTTGCTCATTTTTCTTTCGATTGTTAAAAACCCTCATCATGGCTTGTCGGCCGTACGTACCAAGATTCCATTCACAAGACAAGATTTGCGACAAACAATGGTCCCCACCTCCATTACATTATCACTTGACTCCTTGCATCCCACTGTAGTTAAGTGCTTTCTTTCTATTGGTTGGCAATGGAAAAATTGCACTATCATTGCTGCTCTTTTCGTCTCTACTATAACCTAAATTAACATAACATGTCAAGATTATGCTTCCCAAGATAAATAATAACACCAAAAGTAAAGCTAATGGTGAAAAGGAGTTCAGCAAAACTAATTTTAATTTTTACTCCATATATTGAAATCTCCAAATTAGTAGTGGACAATCAGGGCGAAAAGTGAGAACTAAAGCACTCAAATGAAACCAATCAAGAAACTTCCCTGTATCATTTGTTTCTTCACTCACCCAAGCAACCCTCTTGTTCGTTGCTAAACTAACAAAAACAGGACAAACAATACAATGGCAAATGACCTAACAAGGCATAATAATTTGAAGCAAGTCAATCTCTAACAACATATGTTTGCCGGTCTTTGGAGTCAAGCTGCTGTCCGTCTATTGATGTCACTCTGGTGGCTGTGCGTTACTACCGCCCTAATGGAATGCAGCAGTTTCGTCGGCAAAGTGTTGGAGCAAACTCTCTATGCTCATCACCGAATGATCAGCAATGTCTCTGACCCGCACACTCACCTGCATTACCACACTAGTTCGTTAGGTCGTCGACAGCCAAACAAGCAAATGCCTCACAAGTGACGTTCAGTTCTGAGCTCTCATCATTTATGAATATATATGTGATTTGAGAGCAGCTGGAGTTGAAGAACCACAAAAATATTAAGTACACCGATCTGGACAGTGGCAGCAGTAGAATTGTACCTGGCCTGTGTTGGCTTCCTCTTCGCCGACAACTAATATGTAGTTGTACTGTGCTAGTTGGGCTTCTCTTACCTGGATCAATCCAAACAAATCAATTGAGCAAATATATGCATGTACACCTATCTCAATAGGGTAACATGGGATTATAAGCATAGAAGCTGCATGCGAACCTTTTTCTGGATCTTCCTGTCTGTTATATCAGCATCCGCATAATATCCAGCTTGATGAATCCGATCTCGTACCTGTAATTCAAGCCAGAATATGTCATTATCGCTGCTAAGCTTAGGTTGGACGATGGAGAACAGATAACAAGATGATAAAAACACAGGACAGGGATCAAACTCCATGTATACTATCGCAAATTTCAAAAGATAGCCCTTGGAAATTTATAATAAGCACTGTAATAGAAGTCTGGGCAAGAGAGAAACTGAGACTGAACAACAGCATATGAAGAGAATCTGTAGCTAACTTGTTTTGCGTAGTCCACCGATTTGGCAGACACGGGACAGACAATTGCTTGACGAGGGCTAAGCCAGAAAGGCCACTTCCCCTTGTAATGCTCCAATAGTATAGCAAACATACGTTCCACAGATCCCAGGATTGCTCTATGTATCATAACTGGCCTTTCTAACTTGGTTTCATCCTCAGCAGAGAACTCCAACTTGAAACGATCTGGAAGCTGGAAGTCAAGCTGCAACCGACATCCATAACCAATCATGAGACTAAATGCAGCAATGCACCTTTGAAGCAAAGAAATCAAAACAGCAGAGGAAAATCATCTCAACCTGTAATGTGGCACACTGGAATTTCCTGTTCAATGCATCAGATACACTAATATCTATCTTAGGACCATAAAAAGCACCATCGCCTTCATTTATCTGTAAGTACAAGAACGTATTCATTAGGATTCAAGAGACCGCTTGAGATCTATTCTTTGGTCTGTGGAGTTGCCCTGCAAAATAACAAGCATCAAATAACATCAGAATATCCCTAACGTGAAGAACAGCACATACCTGCCACGCCTTCCCAAATTCATTCAATGCTTCTGTCAGAGCAGCCTCAGCTTTATCCCATGTGACCACCTCCCCAAGAAATTGCTCCGGCCTCTGTCATATAGATAAAATTACAACACAAATCATAAGGAGTCACCCCTTAAACCCCTTACAAGCATGTGATTAGTAGATGAAAATATTAGATGCTCTGTGAACGCATCCAACCAATCCACCTCCACTGAAAAGCAATAGAAATCCTAACAAAGAATATAAACTTGCAAAATGGTAGATAGGACAGGGTGCTGAATATTTCATAGGAATAAAAACGAGCATATGGCCCTGAACATGCATATAGAATAATCTTGATCTCACGGCACATACTGCATATAAAGCAGCATTAAATCTGAAGTGCATTATATTAAACTCATCTTGCCTCAACTAAGAAACACATGATAAATGAGCAAGAAAATTGATTTCTTCCCAAAATTTGAGCAAAATTCTCTCCATATTAGGAATTTTGAATAATCAAAAAGAAATATCATACCGTAGATAGCTTCAGCTCATAAGTGAATCCAAATATTTTATATGCATAATCAATGAAGTCCAGGACACCTCTCACTTCATCTTTTATCTGGAAAAAATGAGGCTGTATCATTCAGCATATCTTCACACCTGTACGTACTTCATTATGTAAAGTGTAAACAGAATAGTTGGGCATAAGATTAGAAATATCACCTGGTCCTCTCTGCAGAAGATATGAGCATCATCCTGTACAGAAAAGAAATGCTTGACTTTAACAACAAAAATTAAATAAGACGTATATACATAAGAGAAATGAGAAACAAAGAAATACTCATCAGAATAGACAGGCCAAAGAACTAGAAAGTTCATCGACAACTGACAATACATCAACAATAACATAAAGAAGTTCTAACCGAAAATGAACTTCTAAATCTGTTAATCAAAGTCTAACGCAACTAGTAATAACAGCTAGTTGCCACTGTAGGCACCCGTTTTATTGACTACTATGAAACATGTAGTGCCTGACCCTTATGTCAAACAGTAAAACATTTCTTATAACCACCTGTTGAAACCTTCGGACGCGAGTCAACCCTGTGAGTGCACCACTAGCCTCGTTGCGATGCAGGGCACCAAAATCCGCCATACGGATAGGCAGTTCTGCAAAACCACAATAAATCTAAGAAATCAAAAAACAAGACCTCAAAAGACAAAGTATACAGCAAGAATCTCAGAATCATTATCACAGATAACAGACTACATAATGAAGATTCATTGAAGAAGCAAGTGACCCTATGAGGGAATGGCAATAGATGAAACCAAAATCACCTCTGTAAGATCGAACTCTATACTGGAACATCAAACAATGCCCGGGACAATTCATTGGTTTCAGCCCAAATTCTTGCTTTTCAATCTGCAACAAAAGAAATTATCAACTGGAAATCATACCTTTGAGAAGTATGCTATGACTAATTGCATTGAAGTATGAAGCAATGCAATATTTCACAATAACACATTTTAAACTCTTTTTTTTTTTTTTTCCTTGGCAAATCAAATTGGGATCAATGAAAGCACAACTTTCCACAACACCCACATGAATTTCTAGATAAACAGCATCCTATCTCTAACCCCCTCAGAGAAATAAGAACATAATGCCTGTTCACAAGAGTCTAGACTAACACTGAGGAAGCCATGTCAATCTGAAATGCATACTAAATAAGAGTTGAGTTGCTAATGTACTCACATTAAGCAGAAACATGTTATCCCTGTAATTTGCAGCATGCCCAGATGTCTCCCAGAGTCTCATGTTATACATATTTGGTGTTTTGACCTGCCAATTTTAATGAAATTAGAGCAATTATTTGTCAACGTGAGCTTACTTGAACATGCTCTAACTACACAGCATACCTCCTCATAACCCCTCTGGATATATTGAGATTTTATGAACCCCATTAGTTTGTTGTAAATCCGTGTCCCATGAGGAAGGAAGAACCAACTTCCAGGGCTGAGAAACCACCGAACATGAAACAAAATGACATTTTGATATGATCGATGAAAATAAATCCATAAAGGGAAAACTGTGCTCTACCTCAATGGATGACAAAAGAAAAGTTCCTGCTTTGTCCCCAACAATCTGTGGTCATACTTCTTTGCTTCTTCTAGGTTTTTAAGATACTCCTGGTAGAAAAGATGGCATTGAAGAATTATAATAATTGTTAAACCCAACCAGCAGGACATTGTACAATGATGCAATGGCACCAAATACCCATTAACAGAAGTCAAAAGGAAGAAAAAAAATACCTTCAGACGCTTCTGGTCAGGGTATGAAATTCCATAGACCCTCTGCAAACTTTCACGGTCTTTGTTCCCCCTCCAGTAGGCAGAAGAAGCCTGCACAAATTCCAAATATTAAGACCATACCTCCCTGTTACGCAGATCAGGAACACAGCTGTATATAAGTAACAGGAGAATGCATCACAGGAGCCTCATAGGTACAGCAGCCTTTAGTTAAGAAGTCACCTTCAAGCATGCAAATGCCTTTACAAAGGATGTGTTTGGGATATGGGGACCACGGCACAGATCCACCAGCGGACCACATCTGTACACTGTAATAGTTTTGTCTGAAGGCAGGTCATTTATGATTTCAACCTAATTATTTAAAGACACCCAAAAAAGTGAATAAGCAAACACATGAACAGTCCCATGGTGAGAAAAACCTTGACCACCATATTATAAAATTACCTTAAAGTTGTTATCAGAGAAAATCTCAAGGGCCTCATCCCTGGTAACTTCAATGCGCTCAAAATCTTGTCCTTCCTAGAAAGAACTGGACATCAGGCACTTGACTAACTTTCAGTGAATTATAATCAATATACAAGTACAAATGTGGAAGTGGATTGGCATAACTGATACAAGATCTGACTGAGTGTTTGTCAAGGGGACAGAACACGATTATGGTAAATCAAGTTTTAGAAGAAACATGCTGAACAGGTAGTTTCAGCATTAACAAAAGAAATTTGAGAGAGCTAACTGGTCTAGACAAACAGGAACATCGTTGGATAAATGTGATGACGCAGCTAAACCCAGAGAATAGATAACAACTACGCGAATAAAATTAGGTGAGTACCTTGACAGCTTTTGAGGCTGCAGCTTCAATTTGCTTGAAGTGTTCATCATTTAAACCTAATTCCCCATAGAACGCATCATAGTAGAATCCCTAAAGCACCATGGTACACGCATAAGGAAGGTGACTCAGCTTGAACCAAAATCACATAAACAGACTCACGGGGGGAGAGAGAGATGATTGAAAGAAACAGTAAGGTACAGAAGGAACTACTTTAGCCTAGAGTATACCTCCCCTCTGGTGGTACAAGGTCCAATGCAAAGCTTGCAACCATATGTTTGTTCCAGTGACTGCCAAAATCAAGAAGAACATCAGGTAACCAAAAATCAAAATTTGCCATCTATACCTTGGGAAGCTGTCACATATAGAGAAACTGACATAGAATTACATAACGATGAAAATTCTGAAACCCGACAATACTCATACCACCATTACCCAGTATGCTTTCTATCATACCAAACTATCTACTAGTAGCCAGGGCATAGCCACAATGAATATACATTTGCCATGAGTAAGAAGATCCCCCTCCGCTCCCCCCCCCCCCCCCCCCCCCCAAAAAAAAAATACTCATCCATCAAGGGACAGAACTATCTAAGCTGTAGTTCTCTTCTAGGCTTAAGTGGGACACTTTCTAAACTTATTTTGTTTCGCACTCTTTCTAATCTTGTTTGGCATTTACCTTCAAAAGAAAAGTAAAGGGTTTGGTATCCATGTCCAGAATTAAGGAATCTAATTAATAAGAAACTGTTTTTACTATAACCAGCTCTCGAGTCGCCCATTTAACAACACCCTCTCATCTTCTTTTCTTGTAGAGGACAGTTGAAATATTATATGAACATTTATACACCTTGCCTAACTAATGGCCTCGTTTCCACCAGAAGAATACATACTGGAATGGTGAAGCCATTCGGTTTCAACTGTTAGAATTCAGCCTAAAACTTTTCCAGATAAGGAAGTGCATTTCAACAGAACCACCTCAATAGGGGTTGAACAAAAGCTAAATGTCAAATCCACCCATCTAAATCAAACATTGTCAGTCTAAGATAATTAAGTAATTAACTAACCTCGCCAAGAATGTGAGCGCTAGAGTGCCAAAAAGTATCACGCCCTTCATCACTATCGAAAGTAAACAATTTCAACTCGCAATCGCCTTCCAATGGCCTCTTCATATCCCACAACACTCCATTAACTTGAGAGATCAGCGCATTAGATGCCAAACTCTTGGAAATCTCCTTTGCAATGTCCAGCGGACTGGATGACCATCTCTTGCCTTCCTTCACTGTCCCATCCGGCAAAGTAACCCTAACAAGTAGAAAAATCCAGAACTAGGGTCAAACTCAGAACCGCAAACAAAAGAAAAGAAAGCAATCACAACCTAATGCTCTTCAACTTTCCACCCCACAATCTTTACCTGATAGGGTCATGAGGGAGGGAATCGAGATGGGACTTCTGCTGCGACTGGATCGCTTGGAAGCGCTGGATGCGCTTGGGAATCACTGCACCAAGGTACGCTTCATCTTTAGGATGCCCCCCGGGCGCAGCCATGGGGATTCCGGCGGAGGAAAGCGATGAGAAAGCGCGCAGGCGTGAAGCGGATTGCAGTTTCCAGAGGAGCGAAACCTGCATCCAGTGAGCGAATTAGGAGGGACAGGGTTTAAGGGTTTTTCTTTTATACTACGACTATGAAAAGCCCCGCCGTCAAGCAAAACCACGACACGGTGCGTGTGGGCGTCAAGAGTGTCACCTCTCTACTGGGCCTCGAGCAATGCAGTCAAAAGCGCGATTTTACCTAGAAACAGAAAAGGGGCAAGATTCGGCCGGAGCTTCTCGCTTGATGATAGCGGCGCGGGGCTGGCGAGGAAGAAAAGATGATGGCGTCGCGGGGATGAGAGGAAGATGATGGGGTGGTGGTCTGGGCGGAGAAGGCGGTGGCGGGGCTGCTGGAGGGAGAGGGAGATGTCAGCCGAGCAAAGGAGAGGTTTCTAGGGTACTACAATGGCAGAGAAGAGACGAGTCTTGTAGCCGTGGTGGCGACGAGTCCTTCAGCAGGTGAAGCGTACTGCAGCGCCGGAGGAGGACGAATAAGATGCGGAAGAGGTGGCTGTTGGAGCTGGAGGAATTCGATTAGAGTTGATGTGAAGCTCCCTCTTCCCTCACAGTAGTTGATGTGCGCAGGGCAGGATGAGCGGCTGTTGCGTTTGAGATGGAGAAGCCAATTTAGCCATTTAGGTTTCTTTTTCCGTTCTCTCTCTACAATAGGGCCTCTATTTTATTTTTATTTTTTTCACGAGTCAACATAACGACGCGCTTTATAATGCTTAAACCTTTCTAAACATTGCGTGGAATCGTATAAAAACGGGACTAGATAGTGTAACAACAGGCCTTGTGTTCTTTTTGTAACAATATTAGTCTCCAACCAATAGGAAGCTAGGGTTGTGATGATTTTTTATTAGATGAGTTGACCTAGTGTAAAATCAAAGCAGGGGTATAATTGTCATATTGAAAAATATGTTTAAATAATAATTAAAAAAAGTATACAAAAAATTATTTTCTGCCAAAAATGTTGGTCGTCGGTCACCGGAATATGCTTTTTGTCACCGGAATATGCTATTTTGTCATCGGAATATGCCACTGTCGCCGGAATATGCTCACCGTGGTCGGAATATGCTTACCAGCGTCGGAATATAGTCATCGGGGCCGGAATATGCCTATCGGCGTCGGAATATGCTCACTGACGGTCATCAGAGTTTGGTCAACGATTTTCATTGACCGGTCAACGGTCAACGACCACCGGATATAATGGTCTGCATTGTGAGATTTATGGTTTGGTTTCTCTTGTTTTTTTATGCCTTTTGTGGTTTGCTTTATCGTGTTTGTGGTTTGCATAGAGAAGTTTCTGGTTTGCTTTCAAAAAATTTGTGGTTTGCATTGAAGGGTTTCTGGTTTGTTTTAATATATTTGTGGTCTGCATTAGGACGTTTATGGTTTATTTTTTTGTGGTTTGATTTACCGTGTTTGTGGTTTGCATTGGGAGATTTCTAGTGTGCTTTCGCAAATGTTGTAGTTTGCTTTGTGAGGTTTGTGGTTTGTTTTACGGGATTTGTGGTATGCAATAGGAGGTTTCTGGTTATTTTTTGTGGTTTTTTTATCACGTTTATGGTCTGCACTAGGATGTTTCTAGTATGCTTATGAAAGACGTGTGGTTTGCTTTTTTTGTGTGGTTTGCTTTACCGTGTTTGTGATTTGCATTAGGAGGTTTTTGGTGTGTTTTCGCAAATGTTGTGGTTTGCTTTGTAAAGCTTGTGGTTTGTTTTAGGAAATTTGTGGTATGCATTAGGAGGTTTCTGGTTTGCTTTTTTTTGTGATTTTTTTATCACGTTTGTGGTCTGCATCAGGAGGTTTCTGGTGTGTTTATTAAAGACTAGTAATCTGCATACCGATAACTCCTAAATGCATACGATAAACACAATAATACACTAAAATACATTAAAAACGCCTTCACAATGATTCATAGTCTCTCGAACAAGCTTTACATGTTAAATAGGAAAAAAGAATCAACCCATGATGATGCAATTACGTTAGGTACACATGATGATGCAATTACTGATAGGCTCCGAAAAAGATGGACTTCTATGTCCCATTCCTCAATACCCTTTGTACTCTGCTACAATTGCTCACCATGGTGGTAGTCTGGTAAGGAACCTCTCTCATATGCCATTCACTCTAGCGACATATCATTACATAATCTGCGTTTTATTTACTTTGATATTCATATGTAGCTTGGTTAATTGCTGATAAATTTAGTGAGATCGAAGCATCATACACACAAGACACAGCGATTTACGTGGTATCCCCGACAAGTCGGGACTAATCCACGAGAGAGCTTGAAAACTCTCCGCCTACTGCTTCCTATTGATTATGTGATTATATTTGGCTGTAGCCTGATACAAGAGCTTTTATAACCCTCTCTACAAGTATCTAGGGTTACAGTAGTAACCCTTTCCTTTTCACTCACGTAAACCATCCCAGAGAAGGGTTGTGCGACGTCATGGGCTGCATGGGAATTGGGCCGAGACGCAGCACCATCAGTCAAGCCCAATACTCCCCCGCAAGCTGGAGCGTGGAGGTGAAGAAAATACCCTGACCAGGTGAAGACTTATGGTATCGCAGGATACGAGTAGTGGCATCCATGTGTGCTTGAGTCGGGGAATTTACGAATTGGCTCAAGACATTGACGACATACGTAATGTTAGGTCGTGTAACCGTGAGATAAAGCAGACGACCAACAAGTCGCCAATAGAGTGAGGGATCAGCAAGAACATCGACATCACTTACTGGACAAGTAAGATGATGATTTTGCTCGACAGGGAAGGCACTAGGGCGTGCGCCTTCAACGCCGGCTGCTTCAAGGGTATCGAGAGTATACTTCCATTGACAAATGACAGCCCCGTCTCTAGTGCGGGCAAACTCCATGCCAAGGAAATATCGTAGCTCCCCCAAGTCCTTGATACTAAACTTCTCATCCAAAAAGCGCTTGACCTTGGTTATGAAAAGCAGGTCATTTCCTGTTAAGATGACATCGTCGACATAGATGAGAGCATCAACATAAGTACTCCCCCGATGAAAGATAAACAAAGAATGATCTGCTGGAGAAGACCGAAAACCCAGTGAGCAGAGAGCTGAGGTGAACTTATGGTACCAATTTCGTGAGGCCTGTCGGAGCCCATAGATAGACTTGTGGAGCCGGCAAACGCGCGAATCACCTGGTGCAGCAAAACCAGGGGGAATCTGCATATAAACTCTTCCTCAAGATCACCATGGAGGAAAGCGATATTAACATCCAACTGATGCAAATGCCAAGCGCGACTGACGGCGACAGCAAGAAGACAACGAACGGTGACCAATTTTGCCACCGGTGCAAAAGTATCATGGAAGTCGATACCTTCGACTTGGGTGTAACCCTTTTCCACCAACCGGGCTTTGTAGCGCTCGATTGTACCATCGGGACGATACTTAATTTTGAAGACCCATTTCGCTGCGATAGTGCGCTTCCCGTTCGGCAGGAAGACTAAATCTCATGTCATTTTGTTGGAGGGCCTTAATTTCGGCAACCATGGCTTCCCGCCAACGTGGGTCAGCAAGGGCTTCCTTTAATGACCGAGGCTCGTCGTGGGTGGTTACTGCAGCCAAAAAAGACTTATAATTGGGTGCAAAATTGTCATATGAAACAAAAGCTGAAAGGGGATAAGAAACAGCAGCCGAAGCACTTCCTTGATTGTCTTGAGAAGGACTGGTAAGTGGCGCAAAAGTTGTATCATAGACCCCAAGATGCTTGGGCCTGACTCGCACTCTGTCGCTGCGACGAGGAGCAATGGGCTCAGGATTCTGAGCGCTCGGAATGTCCTCAGTTGAAGTGGGCCCACTGTTGGATATGGGTTGTGTCATAGGCGAGGCTGGGGCCGGGGAAGTATCGCCCGACGTAGTGGGCTCGGTGGGAGTTGCCGAAGGGGACGGCCCATCAGATATTGAAGGGGCCGAATTTGGAAGGGGCCCAATGTCTTCCAACAGCTCGTCGTCTGTATCGGCATTAGGTTGGGTGATCATTGGCCGAGGTATCCAGTGTAAGCGATCAAAAGTAGCTGCCTGGAACGAGAATTGATCTTCATAGAAAAGAACATCATGAGAGGTTATGATCTTGTGAGTTTCCAAGTCGTAAAGGCGATAACCCTTTTGGATTGAAGCATAGCCAATGAACGCACATGCGGGGCCTCGTTGCCCAAACTTATCAAGAGAAGCATGAGTATCTTTAGCATATGCAAGCACCCAAAAACGCGCAGATGCGAATAAGGTGCAGTCTTCTCAAACAAAATCTCGTATGGTGTTCGCCCAGTAGCAGTCGTCGGTAGACGATTGATCAAGTAAGCAGCCGTAAGAACACACTCGCCCCAAAAACGAAGAGGCAAACTAGCCTGAAAACGCAGCGCCCGTCCAGTATCCAAGAGGTGACGATGTTTCCTCTCAACCACTCCGTTTTGTTGGGGTGTGTCTGTGCAAGATGTCTGTAGTACGATCCCTTCACGCTCATAATAACCTTGTAACACCAGAGTATTAAATTCATGACCATTATCTGCTTGGATTCTTCAAAGTCGGCGGCCAAATTGACAGCGAACAAGCTGGTCAAACATCATCAGATATTGCCCTACTTCTAACTTGTACCGAAGGAGGTAAACCCAAACTGCACGACTAAAATCGTCAACAGTGGTAAGGAAATAATGTGCTCCACTCAAAGAAGCTGTCTTATAGCCGCCCCATATATCAACATGAATTAAATCAAAACAGTGTTTGGTCCGAATCTGACTGGTAGGAAAAGGAAGTCTAGTCTGCTTAGCACTCGTCTCGGACGTGGCCGAGCTTCTGGCAATAATTGCATCGAACGCTGTTGCTTCACTACATAGATAGTAAAATACGGTACGGGAAAGTTACGTAAAAAATACGTACGGGTATTTTACGTCGTCTCTAAGCTAAAGGTACGTTTAATAGTACGTTAATAGTAACAAATATATAAAAATAAATTATTTTAAAAATAAATAAATATATAAATAGTAGTAAAGTTCACAATTTAATTCATTAAATACGGATATTAAACGTGTTATACGGGTTTTATACGTGTTTAGTACGGGAGCCATCCAAGGAACGGAAAAAAATGAAACGGCTTGACAATAATACGGATACAGAAGTTTTAAACGGATAAAATACGTACGGGTACATATACGTGTATTAAACGGAGTATTTACTAACTATGCTTCACTGGTTGGCTTGCGATTCTGAGAAATCATGCGTTGCTGTTCCTCATTCAGCGTAATATTAAACGCCTCAGCCAACGTGGGCGTTGGCTTCATTGCCAACACCTGGGTCCGCACAGCCGAAAAAGGCTCATCCAATCCCATCAAAAAATCAAACAGCCGAGAGCTCTCTTGCTGTTCTCGTATACGAAGCGAAACGCCGCAGGTACAGTGACCACACGTACAAATCGGCGTGGGGGAGATGGCAGTCGATTCTTCCTAGAGGGACCGCAGTTTGGTGTAGAATGCTGAAACAGTGTGTTTCTCCTGTTGTAGAAGGCTGATCATCCATCGCAGCTCGTAAGCACGAGAGGCATTGCCCTGTCCAAAGCGACTTCGCAGATCCTCCCAAATCTCCTTTGATGTTTCAGCAAATTGCACACTGCTACGGATTTCTTTGTTCATAGCAATTTTAAGCCATCCTTTGATCATGGCATCACAACGTACCCAAGCATGCAGCTCGGCTCCACTCTTGGGTTTGACTAACGTTCCGTCCACGAACGCAAATTTGTTTTTGGCGATGAGGGCGTCCTACATGTCGAGCACCCATTCACCATAGTTGGAAGCAGTGAGAATGTCGTCGACCAACGTCTGGCCAGGCGAATTGGAATTGGGAAGACGGTAGACCGATGGCAAGTTCTCATCATCATGCTCCATCTTCATAGGTGTGGTTTTCACCCCTTTGTCACTAGTCTCTTCGTCACCCATCGTCGCTATCGAGGTATGGACCTACTGCTCTGATACCATGAGAAATTTAGTGAGATCGAAGCATCAAACACACAAGACACATCGATTTACGTGGTATCCTCGACAAGTCGGGACTAATCCATGGGAGAGCTTGAAAACTCTCCAGCTACTGCTTCTTATTGATTATGTGATTATATTTGGCCGTAGCCTGATACACGAGCTTTTATAACCCTCTCTACATGTATCTAGGGTTACAGTAGTAACCTTCTCCTTTTCACTCACGTAAACCATCCCAGAGAAGGGTTGTGCGACGTCATGGGCTGCATGGGAATTGGGCCGAGATGCAGCACCATCAGTGAAGCCCAATAATTGCAGGTCCCTTACTATCTTGACGAAGAACTGGCTGGGGCTTGGAAGTTTCTGAACTTAAGAAGCAATTAAAGGAGCTAGGTCAAAGGGTATCACTGTCAAGGCTCTGGTTGTTATAAATCCAGGCAACACAACTGGATAGGTGAGGGTTTTGCCTACATTTTAACAACCAAGATCGTCCTTTGCTGCTGCTTTTGGATTGAGAACTCGAGAAACTCTAAACCACGAAGATCACTGCATTTAACAATCAAAAGTGTCAATTATTAGAAAACCAGAACAACACAAGAGTGAGCGCACCGCACCGCTGAATCTCCCCCAAATTCAAAAATCTCCTGATCGAATCAGATCTAGACACCAATTTCAGAATCTCCTCGAACTCCAGCTCGTCGCAGGGGATCCGCAGCGGGCCGGCGTGGGCGAAATCGAACTCCTCCTCGGCCTAAGCCAGGATGCGATTGAAGATTGGATGGTTCAGGTGCGTCACCCGCACGACGAATCTCCGACAGCTCCCGCTGACGCAGATGGCAACGTGGCATGAACAGGAAGAGAGGAAGCGAGGAGCAGAGCAGGATTTTTACGGCCGGGATCTGGAGTTCTTACGACCAGGAGCATGGGAGCGAGTCGTGACGAAGAGTACTACCGCAGAGCAGGATTTTGGCGATGCCACTGGACGACCTATTCCCCTCGACGAACTCGTTAGCAGCCGACGACGGCGGTGGTCGCGGAGCGCTGGACTAAGATAGAACGACGGCGTTGCAGAGGAGGAGAGTCAGAGTTTGGGCGGCGCCGTTGGACTTCACCCGACGACGACGGTGGTCGCGATGCTTTGGACGGAGAAAGAAAGGCAAAGTTGACGAGAGATCTGGAAGAAAGAGGAAGCGAAGGGATACAGATGACGAGAGATCTGGAAGGGTTGGGGTATTTGTTTATTTTATTTTAATTTCTAATTTATTGCTTTTAGTGAGTTCTCGTTTTTACCCCTGTTGTTACTATAACAACATCTATAGTGTTGTTATAGTATCCGCTCCCTATAAAAACGATGTGGAAACGCGTTTTTAACATTTTTTAATGATTTTACTGATTTTATACCAACGTTTTTTTACGTTTTGAGTACCAAGCGATTTTAAGTAGGGTTGTAGGGGTGAACAATCACATCTGCAAACTGACCATCCAACTAACCCGATCCAACTAATATGTATTTATCGCAAAAATTAAGGTTTATGATTGGGTGAGCGTTTTCTTTTGTACAACTTGCCTCTTTTCGGTTGGGTTTGAATTTTGGATTACACTACCTGTAGAACCGGACCCAAATCGTGTTCCAACTATTTATATGAGTTCGTATCCAAAAAATATTTATGTCGTATATAGCCATTTTTATAAAAGAATTAAGATATTTCGCCATGTTTGTTTCTCATGGTCTCCCTAATTTAATGCATTCTTCGGCTTAAAGTTTAGAATTTTTTTATACAACTATGATTCACGTAATCCTTTTCTTGTGTACAATTTTAATAGAATAACATATTATGGATGCGTTCTTTATAACCTCTTTAGCCTATTTTGTCAAAAGTCGTACAAAAAACTAGACAATGCTGAAGTAAATCACATTTTATTAAAATTCAAACAACATTTGTGCATTTTGATACATTTCACCTTGGTTTATTCGTTTGAAATTTTTATTAGTTATAAAATATTTTTATGGTGTAGAATAATTATATATTTTGTGTTGGTTGGGTTTTTACTTAAAAATATCATCAATCCGACCCAACCCAATTAGAAACAAACCATAAGATTTTAATCTTTTTGGGTGGTGATGACTCGATATTTGCACATGTTTTCCCCTTTGTTTCTTGATTGTTTGAGCTTTAATTATTGCTTCTTTGGCCTATTTTTTGTGTTCCTTTGTCACATTTCAGGTCCTAGCACATAAAGTGAAGCATAGGCGCAAGTTTCAAGTCAATCAGAGATCAATTGGCGATTAGGGAGAAGAAACTCGGGCATGACCTGAAGAATAATGAATTTCTACCTCACTTTATGGATAAAGAATCATGCAAGCTTGTCATGAAAAGAAAGAGGACGAGACTACGAGCGTCTGGGATCAAACGGCGACTGATTCGGAGTCCGGACGAGGGAGAAACGAAGCATTGAATATAGGGGAACAGGTTCGGCAGTAAAAACACGGGCGCGCCTAAATCAAAACACGGCCGTGCCCATATTTAGGCACGACCGTGTTTTGGCCGACGCGCGCGAGCGTGTTTTTAACACGGGGCAAAACACGGGCGGTCAAAAGCAAAGCACGGCCGTGCCCTCGACCGTGTTTTGCCCAGAATCAGGTTTTTTAACGCAAATTCAAGCCAAAGGAGAGGGGGAGCTGGGTTTTGGATCCCAAACACCCAAGGGACGAACCAAAGAGAGAGAGGGCGATCTGAGGGCATTCTAAGAGTGGAATTGGAGGATTCGAGTTTTTGAGAGATAGAACGACTTCTAGAGAGAGAAAGTGACGAGCAAGAGTTTCCAAGTGCCCTAGATTGATCTTCAACACCATTGGAGACCAGCTTGAGCTTGGAGAAGTGCCAATCAACGTCCAGAAGCAGGAATCCATCCTTCGCAGTATGAATTCCGTGTCTGATTCTGCTTTTGCTTTCTTCTCCATGGAGTAGTTCTCCCATTCATCTGGGTATGGAGAACCCTAGATTTGTATGTTAGGCTTTGATTGTATGAACCCAAGTACTGATTCTATGATTGATTATATTCGATTGAGGTTTTAATGATTGAATGATTTGAATCCTGATCAAATTCCTGTTGTTTCTGCTTTGACCTAGAATGAGAATATCTGCCTAGGTTAATAGAGTATCCTTGATTGAAGGTAGGGAGTTGGTGACTTTAGTCGAGGGGCCAACTCACTATTCTGTACCGGATTTACTCCGGTAGTGGAGGTTTTGTTCTTAGGGCCTCAATCTGTCGACTCCGGTGGAGGTTAGTCGCCCGCTAGAGAGTCAGATTGAGAGGGTCTGAAGACCTTTAGTCGAGACTTCAGGCTGTTTAAGAACCTTCCGCGGTATAACTGTCATAGAAACTGAACTTGGTAATTACAATCCGGCTTAACTGCAGTCTAGGGGGAACCATATCCGGGTGACCTCTTTAACCTGAATACAACCAGTTTACTTGCTTTGTTTGTTTGGTAGTTTAGACTTGCACTCCAGTTTTATTGCTAGATAACAAGAACTCACTGAGTAGTCAGCAAATCTAGGACCCGGGTTGATAATTAAACCTAAACCCGCTATACTACGCTTTAGGAAGTGGTTACACTTGGCCAATTCCTGGAGTGACAGTAGAGTCAAGTCAAGTTTTTGGCGCCGTTGCCGGGGACTTTCTAGAGTATTAGGAAAGGCAGAAGTTTGTTACTTTAGCGTTTTTCTTTTCTTTTCTTTTCCACCCTTGCTTTTCACTTGGGTGTTTTTGTTTTTGTTGGTGCAGATCTGAATCATGGATCCTCATGGCTTCTCCAACAATTGGGGGTATCCACCACCACCCGAGTGGTATTACCCCGAGACTCCCTGGAGCAATCAAGGAGGAGAAGACTATGGATTCGGGTTCCAGTACCAACCCCCTTACTACGAAGAACAACCGGACCCCTGGGCATATCAAGAACAACCTCATTACCAAGAAGAATTTTTCCCACAACCAGAGGGGCCATTGGAGCTGGAATTACCCATGGCGGCCTTCACGGGCCATTCTGCAGAGCCATGCTACACTCCACAGCCAGATCCACACTATGAATTGAGACTTCTCATGGAGCAGTTTGCTCGAGACTGTGATAGAACATGCTCCAGGATGGATCATTGTGTCCAGGCCTATCGTGAAACAGAGGAGATCCTCCTGAGCTTTAAGAAGAGCGTCGATGATCTTGAGCGATCTTTGGCACAACCTGCTCCAGATCACCCTTCTGCTACCATACTAGAAGAGGAGGAGGAAGAAGAAGGCTACAAGGACATTGTGGAACATACAGAAGTTGTCACGGAGAGCTCCCGTGATGGTCATGATCAGGAATGTCCTGTCGTAGCCGACCACACCTTCCCACACCCCAAACTGAGCTTTGAAGAGGCGGGCATGAGTGAGGAGATGCAAGAAGATCTCATGAAAGAAATTGCTTGGCAACTTGCTCTCCAATCCGTGCTAGAAGAAGAAGAGCAAGAAAGGGTGCAGAAAGAAGTTGTGGAGGATGAAGAAAGTGAAGCAGGAGGAGTTCTTGATCATTTCCCAGGGGTGATACCACATGAAGAAGGAAGGGAGGTTGAAGAAGAAATTGGCGTCCAGGCTGAGGACGGAGTTAAGGTGGAAGAGGCCTGCACCGGCCATGAGTTACATGTGATATCTCCACCAAACTTCGAGGAACTGCTTAGCAAGGACCCATTTGCAGTGTCTCTTTGCCAGACCAAGGCCACATCGACATCGGTCCCTCTTGGTGGATGCGATGGTGGTCAATCGATGCTGTCATATCTGGTTTGGGGCAATGAGTCGAGAGAAAAGAAGAAGAGGTCTCGAGGGTGGAGACGTTATCTGCATCAAGTGCACGAGCTTCCATCACCTGTCATACCACATGCTCGTGACTTGAGACTCCACCTCATCGACGAGAACCTCAACTTCAAGGAGGTTTTGGGGTGGACCGAAACTTAGGAGCCATCGTCCGGCTCACGACGTGAAAGAAGCACTTGTTGGGAGGCAACCCAACCAGTCGGTTTGCATTTCTTTCTCTATTTCTCTTTGGTTGAGTCAGTTTTGTTCTTTGATTTCAGAGTCAATAATTCAACCGTTGTGAGATTTTGTGTGGTGTTTGTGTTCCGACTACTTTGTCCTCCTGGAATGCACCGCCTTCCCCGTCCACCATCATTCACCGTTGATATGGTAACTTCGTTCTACCCTCCTTATCTTTCCTCCATTGAGGACAATGTCGTGCTTAAGTGTGGGGGGGATGTTCGATTATGTATGTGTGTGAATGTTTGACTGTTTGTGTGCTTGGAGCCTAGTCCACTGTCCAAATTTCGATTTGAGGGCTCCAAGTACGTGTTCCTTGCAATTGCCTGCTCAGTATGCTTTGAATTGACAGTCTTTATAGTAATATGCAACCTAGGGAGGTAGTGTAGCACTATGGAGGATGTTGATGCATTTAAGAAGTCTCATTTCTTCTTCATATTGTGTTGGTTGATTGAGTGAATTAGTGATCTTAAGACCCCTGAATTGTGTGGTGTTGTGGACTCTCTACCTCTCATGGACTCTTGTTTCATGTTTTGAGTTTAACAGGTGCTCGAAAATGTGCTTTAAAATAACATCTCCCGTGCGAATAGGGCGAAAGTGTGTAAGGGGAGACGAGAATTCGTTCCCAATTTTCACCTACTACCTCCAGCCCCCTTACATGTCTTTCCCCCGCACGAGGCTCGAGACACCCGCTCCTGGCATGGCCGGTAAGAGCCGGGCTCCCGCAAAACCTCTGCTAGGTGGGAGCCCCCATTTTGTGAAAAGCAGGTTGGGACCCTTGAAAAAAAAAAGGAAATATAACAGAAAACAAGCAAAACAGAAAGAAAAGGGGTTCCAACCGTCTTCAAAAAGAAAATAAGAGCACCTTGAAAAATGTGAGTCCATGATATTTTTTTTTAGAGTCTCTTTGTCCACGATTCATTTGTCCTCTGTTCACTATTTGCCATGATGCCGACTCGAGACTAGCATTCTCGCCGAAGAAGCTATGAGATGACTTGTGCGTCGGTTGACCTCGTAAGCTGCTAAATGATCTAGAAAATTCTCTATCAACGATCGAGGGTGCATGTTGCTATAGAGGTCTGGAGAGCTGCATTGGTTTGAGTTAGGTTTGCTTGGGGACAAGCAAACGGTTAAGTGTGAGGGGATTTGATGACTCGATATTTGCACATGTTTTCCCCTTTGTTTCTTGATTGTTTGAGCTTTAATTATTGCGTCTTTGGCCTATTTTACGCTAGGTTGTGTTCCTTTGTCACATTTCAGGTCCTAGCACATAAAGTGAAGCATAGGCGCAAGTTTCAAGTCAATCAGAGATCAATTGGCGATTAGGGAGAAGAAACTCGGGCATGACCTGAAGAAGAATGAATTTCTACCTCACTTTATGGATAAAGAATCATGCAAGCTTGTCATGAAAAGAAAGAGGACGAGACTACGAGCGTCTGGGATCAAACGGCGACTGATTCGGAGTCCGGACGAGGGAGAAACGAAGCATTGAATATAGGGGAACAGGTTCGGCAGTAAAAACACGGGCGCGCCTAAATCAAAACACGGCCGTGCCCATATTTAGGCACGACCGTGTTTTGGCCGACGCGCGCGAGCGTGTTTTTAACACGGGGCAAAACACGGGCGGTCAAAAGCAAAGCACGGCCGTGCCCTCGACCGTGTTTTGCCCAGAATCAGGTTTTTTAACGCAAATTCAAGCCAAAGGAGAGGGGGAGCTGGGTTTTGGATCCCAAACACCCAAGGGACGAACCAAAGAGAGAGAGGGCGATCTGAGGGCATTCTAAGAGTGGAATTGGAGGATTCGAGTTTTTGAGAGATAGAACGACTTCTAGAGAGAGAAAGTGACGAGCAAGAGTTTCCAAGTGCCCTAGATTGATCTTCAACACCATTGGAGACCAGCTTGAGCTTGGAGAAGTGCCAATCAACGTCCAGAAGCAGGAATCCATCCTTCGCAGTATGAATTCCGTGTCTGATTCTGCTTTTGCTTTCTTCTCCATGGAGTAGTTCTCCCATTCATCTGGGTATGGAGAACCCTAGATTTGTATGTTAGGCTTTGATTGTATGAACCCAAGTACTGATTCTATGATTGATTATATTCGATTGAGGTTTTAATGATTGAATGATTTGAATCCTGATCAAATTCCTGTTGTTTCTGCTTTGACCTAGAATGAGAATATCTGCCTAGGTTAATAGAGTATCCTTGATTGAAGGTAGGGAGTTGGTGACTTTAGTTGAGGGGCCAACTCACTATTCTGTACCGGATTTACTCCGGTAGTGGAGGTTTTGTTCTTAGGGCCTCAATCTGTCGACTCCGGTGGAGGTTAGTCGCCCGCTAGAGAGTCAGATTGAGAGGGTCTGAAGACCTTTAGTCGAGACTTCAGGCTGTTTAAGAACCTTCCGCAGTATAACTGTCATAGAAACTAAACTTGGTAATTACAATCCGGCTTAACTGCAGTCTAGGGGGAACCATATCCGGGTGACCTCTTTAACCTGAATACAACCAGTTTACTTGCTTTGTTTGTTTGGTAGTTTAGACTTGCACTCTAGTTTTATTGCTAGATAACAAGAACTCACTGAGTAGTCAGCAAATCTAGGACCCGGGTTGATAATTAAACCTAAACCCGCTATACTACGCTTTAGGAAGTGGTTACACTTGGCCAATTCCTGGAGTGACAGTAGAGTCGAGTCAGGTGGGTTTGAATTTAATATTTCACAAACCGTAGTGCATGGGTCGGGTGATTAAAATGGATAAACCCGGACTACCCGACCCATGTACACTCGTAATTTTAAGTAGAAACTGAAGCGTTCTTGTGGTCTGGATAGGTAGAAACGAATGATTTTACGCTTTAAAACGCGATTTTGACTCCACTACTTACGAGTATCCCGTTCAAACGAAACCAGCCCAAATAGGCCTATTGGACTGGACTACGCTTTTGGTCGCCGCACCAGAATAATAAGACCGTTGATGGGCCTGCATTTTCTTATGTATTGTGCTCGCAGTCTCTTTCTCCTTTTTCAAGTTGGGTTGTTTCGGTAATTAACAATAAACGGTTACAAAACTTTGCACTTTGTATAAAATAGTAATAAAATTTCAATTGGCACGATATATATGTTTAAACATGTAACAAAATGGTCAATAACTTCATTTTCATCCAAAACTCGGGTAAAATACCTCGGGTACCACTAAAGTATGAAAATTGGGAAAGCTATGCCACTTAAGTAAGAAATAGGGCTTCGTGTGCCACTGAACTCTATTATATGTGCACTCGGTACCACTTAAGTTTACTGTTAAGTGCATTATGTTAAAGTTGACATAATATTCTTGAAATTTTTCGTTTTCTAAATTTCAGAAATTGTCCTTCTACTTTTCTTATTGTAAAAAATCTTTTGGACTTATGAAAAACTTCAATTTTTTATTGTTTAGTTTGGATCTTTTTTTAACACTCTAATACTAAATCAATTTTTGAATAGAACATTTAGAATCAATTATCATAATAAGTATTTTCAATTATCAATAATTGAATTATTCACTAAAGCAAATATATCCTATGAATTCTGTCTCGGTATAAATAATCTAAAAATGTTATATTTAGTTCTCTTACATCAGGTTGATGTTTTCTAATTGTCCATGTTAAATCTTCTTGTAATTCTCCAATATTATATTATAAATATTCCATATTAGTTAAATTTACTAATTATAATTCTCTTCCCTATAGTATTATAAAAAAAATTCTCTTCCTCATAGTCATATTTTCTTTTCTAGATTTGTTACAGAATGTTCATGCTTTTATAATTTACTTATTTCTTGCTTACTTTCCGTCTCATTTTGTTCTAAATATTTTTCAATTACTAGAATATGTTTAAAAGTTTTGGATACCAAAAGGTAATTAAAACTTTGGGTTGGATGAAAAACTAGAGGGATGCACCTTTTGACAACTTTAATGGTTCCCGATGCCCTATTCAAACTTTAGTGGTATGTCTACCACAATTCTCAAAATTAAATGGTACCCGAGGTATTTTACCCTCCAAAACTCTGTAAAATTTTCCCAGTCAGCGATGCACGTCACAAAAAAAATATTGATAAAAAACTTCACCTAACCATATAAATTAACCAAACGACCCAACCGACCCGGACTCAACCCACTAGAACGATTATACAGAGCGCAAACCATCCTATGGAGTGATTTTAAAATAAAATATGAATTAAATGTTCAATCAGAACTCAATAGGATTTTGATTACTAACATGGAGGGGGGAGTTCTCGTTACATACCCTAAAGGCGTCTCTGATAAGGGTAGCTATCATTCGGTTTCGGTTAACCACTAATCGATATGGCGATAAGTGGGTCACCCATAAATCAAAATTTCTTACCGAAAATCGAACTAAAAATGTTTATCGGTTAACCATTTCTTGTCGGTTTGGTTGGTGGTTAGTTTGGCAGTTATCCGCTGATCACCAACAACTATTCCAAGTTCCAACTAGTGCACTTATGCCTAACTTAATATAAATATAAAATTAGTCAAATACAAATCATCTCCAAATTAAGTTACCAAGAATCGTGTAACCATTAACTCAAATACATAAACATTAATAATCATTAATCAACAATGGAGATTGTCCACCTCCAAACTATGAAAGGTCATGGTTATAGTCATCATCAACATTAAGTTCCTCCTTCTCCTCATCAGGGCTCACTTCATCATCAACATAACCACCAACTTCTAGGTGAACGATTGACTTGCACGTGGAGTTGAACTTTTCATCTGCCGCTCTGGTCTCCTGCTTCGTCGAGTCATCCATTGTCTGTCGAATAAGGGAGGACGCGAAGGAAAGGGAGCTGGGAGGGAGGGGTCGAGTCGGTGTCTGCTGTCCATCGCACTCGTCTCCCACTCGTATGCTCTATCGAGTCAGAAGTAGCTGAAGGAAGGGGTCAAACTGTAATTCTGGAAATCTTGATGCACGAAAGGGTAATTTAACATGTATGACGAGTAGTTATGAAATTATTGCATTGGGAAAGTGGGTTTTTCTTTTATTGGATCTGCGAATAGGATTTGTATAGATGGGCTGGGTTTGGATTCTTGGCTTGGGCTTTGAAGCAAACAAACAACAAAAAGCTAATGGGTAAGCGAAGGTTGATATTATAGTGTTGTTGAAAACTTTCGGGTCTAACTAATGTATGGGGTTGTTTGGATTAGGGATTCTGGTGTGGCTTTTTTTTTCATTTCTGTCACAATTCCACATAATGGTAGATGCGTTCAATCGTTAGGAGGGATTACGATTTCAAATTAATCATTTTCATCCGATCTGTTCGACTTGTTTTATAACAAATATTAATCATTATGTAGGTGAGATGGGGCAGTATGGGTAATCTCCTCGATCAGACATGCCCAATTCTCTCCTAAATTACATGTAATTTTGCTTAAAGTTAATTAGGACTTCACCGTTTTTACATCATATTTTAATTATAACAAAGTTGCAGATAAGTAAGAACCTCAATTTCTCGAATCATTTAACTAAATTTAATATTTTTTTTTTAATTTTTATAATAAAAACAATATTTTAATGATGCTCGTTTACAATAAATACCCAACCTAATTCATATTTTAATCATTGAAGAAACTTTTGAAAAGAAAACTCGCTACGACAAGTGAATATATGATATGATCCAAATCCGAAGAGAACCCTCGAACTCGGATTATATGACCAAAGTACGCAGCCTTCCTTCTTTTAACGGAATTTTCGAAGCTTTTCTTGACAACTTGAAAATAAAGGATAGATATGGAACACGATCAAACAGATTCCAACTCGTGTGAAAGGCCAATTGGTATATGAAACCAATCAAACAATCACCCACTCGTGATAAGGCCAATCGCTATTGTGTAGAAGCTCGCCACAACTAGACGCGTTCTCTAGTTGATAAGAGACACGTGAAACTCCTGGAGACTCTCGACAGAAGCTTGCACAAAAGTTCACAAAGGAACACGAGTAAAAACTCTTAATTGATAACTTGAATGTTGGGTACCATATTCGTAGGTCTTACACCCTCTATTTATAGAGATCTCAAAATCATAAATCTAACCTAATAAGAATAGGAAAACAAATACCAAACTAACTAGAAAACATAATTCTAATTAAATAAGGACTAAAACTACAAACTAAGCTTCTAAATAACCAAAATAAATAATAGGCTAAAACTGCAAGTAATGCGCCGCTTGCAACTCGCGATCCTTTTTCTCGGCGGAATGGGTATTATGTTCAGTAGCGTTTCCTTGGTGGAATTAGACTTCACTCTGCAGCTGCTTCTACTTTGAATTAAGCTTGTATTGACTACTAAACAAATCACCCATGTAATTTGATCTCACGTGAACTTGCATGCATTTTCCTTTACTTGCCATGAAGACAAATTCACCAAATAGATTGCTTTTCCACGTGGTCTAACTCATGGAATAATTAATCAACCAACTAATTAATCCATGCATTAATTCTCATGCCATCCAAGTGTACCACGTGT